TGTATCATTAGCAGTGGTAAAAACACTTACGCAGCCAGTGATGCCTCATGACATGATATGGTCTCACTTAAGGAAACCAAAAGCCCCAAACCAAAATAACTCCACCCCCCCTTCTATCTTCATCTTTCTGTATCTTGCTATCCTTCTCCCCTCTCTATGTGACTATTTGCTTCATTTGATAGTCGATTGGTTGCCTTGGAAACCGGAGGTCGTTTGCCTCCTGCGTGTCTCTTTGGATACAATAAAAACAAGAGAGGGAAGACGAGAGAGAGAAAAGGCAGAGAGACACCGAGAAAGGGTTAGAAAGAGTGACTCCATGCAGTGAGGTATTAAGAATTCATTTAGCCCCCGCTGCCACACACTTTCAGCCTCCCAGCTCTGTCACACTGATGCTTTGGGCACATCCAGATCTTTTGGGTAATGGTCTCCAGTGCCACATAATTTTATCTGGCCTTTTAAAGTCTTTCATTTGTTTCCTGCCAGCTGTATGATGTAAATGAGTCTGCTCCTGGAGCTTTGGATCAAACTCTGCTGTACCTTTACTCTGCAGGCGTGGACCCTGGGTCGCCAGGGAAGTCAGAGCAAGCCAGAATGATTGTAGCATGTTTAAGGGCTGAAATGAGTTGTTTTTATCAGTTTGTCAATTGTCAGAAGATTATGTAACAGTTGTTCAGCAATTTATTAATCGTTGCCTATAACTGTAAATTAAATAACTTTGGGGTTTGGTCGAGCAAAATAAGCAATTTTTTACAATTGTTTGACATTTAATAAACCTGATTAAGATGAAAAATAATTTGTAGATCAATTGATAATGATAATACGTTTTATTTGTGGCCATAAAATGTTTGCCTCCCTGAACAATCAACATCAAAGTGTCTTTAAGTATGGCACTTGCCAGCAAACTTTGACAAAAGAGACACCGGTTCAATGAGGGGAGACTGGATTTTTCAATGAACAAATTTATTTAATTGACATGGGATGAACTAGAGGTGAATGGGGTGGAGGAGGATTGCAACGAGAAAGCAGCCGAGAGGAGAACAGATTTATAGTTTGACTGCAGCAACATGATTGGCCGGAGGAGATTGTGGCTGATTGGTTGTGAACTGAAAGAGCAAATGCCCATAGACATCTGGTTAGAAAGGAGAGTGAGAGAATTGTGAATGAACAAGAAGGTCTTCCTTCTTGAACTTACGGTGAGGTTCATTTCGATTACATATAGTGCAAGTAATTATGTTAAATGTTACTCATGTAAAATCTTTAAAATCTGCCCTGCTCTCAGATTTTCAATGAAATAGCTTTTTTTTTAGGGTTTTTTTGCCCTAACATTGCTTAAATGCTCTTTTAGAGTCTTATCATCTTTCCAACTACAAAAATCTGTTAGGTAAACCCCTAAATACTATACTTTTCACGCCAAAATGCATCAAAAAAGCTATCAGAAAGCCCTATCAGTCAAACTGTACTTCCAACTTTTTTAATAGAGTTGCTCAGTGGCCCACATTGAAATACTGTAGGTGTTCCCGGCAGCTTCCAGTAATGAGTGACAGCCGCTGCATGAATGTGAAGCAGAGCGAGCTGAAAAACAGCAACCTACTTTGCAATCAGTCCCTGGTAAAAAAAACAAAAAAAAGGTTATAAAATTCCAGAGGTGAAACAGTTCTATAAAACAATTCTTGAGTTAATGTTCTTCGAACACCCTGTCTGTAATAGAGCTTTGAGCTTTGAATTCCACCTTATTCTTATCCAGTCACAATGTTGATGTGCAGTATGTGTGCATGTGTCTGTGATGGAGAAAAAAAGGTGCAGAGCCTCCTCCAAGGCACCTACACTAATTGACTCATTTTTCAGAAGTGCAGAGAGAGACAGACAGACACTTGCACATTGTTAAAGGCAGCTCATGTATAGGCAGCGTGCATGAGAAGCTAAAGTGAAGAGCTGGGCAACTCACAGAGGCTGTTTTTAAAGAATGCATTTGGCAGTGGAAATAACCCTGAGATAATCCTCATAGCATTTGCCCAAAGGCTGTCATCATTACTTAGGCTGGGGAAATAAGAAAGTGCTGACCTGCAGTTTTATTCAATCATGCTATTCACATTAAAGTGTGTATCTGCCGGGAAAGACTGCGCTTTCCCAGTGGTATGTTCACAGGCGCTGCTGGAGGGTCTCACCACAAGCTCAGTGACACTTGCAGATGATATCTCTGTCCTCATTAGGAAGGGCTAGCTAGAATAGCTGAAGTGGCAAAAGTGTGTATGTGTGTAGTACGTGCCTGCCTGTGGAATGAATACATAATTTGAATATTTGTATCATTTATGAGTGAACCTAAAATTGATTTTATTATATATATTTTGATTTCCAAAATGTATATCGACCCATATCGATGTCATATATAAAACCCTAAAACTAAGCCTCTGCATAGTAATATCTTAATAAGGTAATCAATGTACATAAAACATAAATGTAACTAAACAGTGTAATCAAACATACTTTAAATTCACAAATATCAGTATTTACTGCTGAGAGAAACAACCCTTTACCTGAGACGTTATAGTCTATTTAAGTATATTTTATCATATTCTATTAAGATCTGCCTCTGTTTTATGATCGGTTTTATTTTTGCTTTGCTCACAATAGGTATGGGTTACAGTAAGGGGGCAGTCTCAGCCGGTACACACAAAAGACCTGACCCTAAATTATTTCTGGTTGGTGACCCCAATTCTTTTTTTCCTCAAACGGCCACTATTTTTTCCAAATGCTTCTGTTTTTGTTTTGCAGTTACTGTTTCTCATTGAAACTCAATACTTGCTGCACAGATGTTTCCCAATGAAAACCTTCCACTGCCACAGCAATGCAATTCATATTTTCAGCCAGTTAGCATAGACAGTTTCATCAAATTTTTCATATTCTAAACTCACTATTATTCTGCTATTCTAACTAAATATCTAGAGGTACAAATTACTGAAGTCTGAAATGTTTTCGACACACTCCTTGTGATACTTCTGTGCATATGATTTCAAACTGTTCTACAGTCGTTGTGCCCAACCTGTAATGTAAATGAAAGATTGCAGTGTGCACACGTATATAGGTGTGTGTTTGTTTGTGTATGCATTTGTGTCACTGTTGTTGCTTGCATGTGCTCTCCACTGTGTATTTAATGAGCAGAACCTGCCAGTTACAGCTTTTATAAGCGATATTTAAAAGGTATAACCTCATTAAAAATGGATCCTACAGTGTATTAATCGCTGTGTGTGATGTCGGTTTGACAGTACAGTCTTGTGTAGTGGGATGAATGAGTTATTAAATGACAAATCGGGCCTCTTTACCTTGTATCACATGTCTACTTTACAGCTATTAGCCTGCGGGACATCAATATTAACCATGCTTCCCTGCAGTGCTGAATATTTCTCTTTAAATGATCTCCATCAGCTGACACACATTGATTTAATGTTTGATTTAACGCGAAACTTAATGCGCACAAGTGAGGGCGTGTGTGTGTGTGCGAGCGTGTGAATGTGCGCGAGCGTGTGGGTGGGTGAGTGTGAGAGTTTATGTTTTTGAACATGTTGGTTCGTTTGCACGTGCATAATCTGCGTATGTGTACTTTTCCGCTCCTGTGTGTGTTGATGAGTGGGTGTTTGTGTACATGTGTGCAAGGCTCTGTCTGTGTGTTTATGTGTATGCATGTGTTTTGCCCACTCACAGCCTATCTTTATCCATGCTGTGATATCTACTGTAGTCCATGTCTTTCTAGGAGGGTTCAGGCAGGGCCAAGAGAAAACATGTTGAGAATTTAATCTTTTCTGGAAATTCTGTCAAATCTGCAGTGTAGTTTGCTCGGAGAAAGGGTTCCCAATTTTTCTCTTTCTTATTTCTCGAAGCTGCTCCTGTCCTGTGTTGTATGCTGCTGGGGGAGAATTTCAGCATCCTGTGCTGTAGCCTAAGGGAGGGATTGGACCTCCTGGGCTATTACAGCACATCCTCCTTCAGACGCTTGTTAGCCAAGCAGAGCGCTCACTCCCTCAACACACAGAAAATGCATATTGAATCACTCCGTCACACTCTGCTGATTTGTTTCTGTTGTTTTTTTGTCTCTGGCATGCAGCTTGGTTTTGCATGTTCTGCTCGCTCCGTTAACCTTTCCCTTTAAACAAATGTTGTTCATGCCGTGTTACTCTCAAAACATTTGGCAGCACCACAGATATTGTCTGACATTTGTTCTGCTGCAAGTCTCTAGTCATTCTAAGTAGTCAAAAAAAAAATGGGACCAGTAGGGTTTCAGTGCCTTGCTCAAGGACACGATGACAGTAGTTCAATTCCGTGAAATGTACAGAGCATTTATTAGAGCTTGTTTAGCTTTATCATGTGTATTTCTTTGGAGGTGTATGTGTGTGTGTGTCGGGGGAGTAATACAGTTAACTGGGAATTTGTTACTTTAATATTGTACACATCGTAAACATCACATCATATTTTCAATTTCTACTGCAAACAATACATTCTCTGTTATAACTGCAAGGCCTGCACTTTAACAGCAACATTCAGACAGTAGTGATCTAAGAAGAATCATGGCAGGTCTTAAAAGTCAAAGCCACACTCTAAAACTTTGACATTTTGTGACTGGATTGGACCCTGGAGGGTTCACCTTTCATTGCAATAGTTTTGTTGCAATTTGTTACAATATTGATGACTTTGAAGGCCTTTTGGAATCAATGGAATCAATTAGAGCACTGGTAAGGAAGGGGCCTGTAGGAGTTATTTGAGCCTGTGGACTAACAACAGAAGATGAACTGTGGAGTGTCACATTTAGACCATATGCAGCTTTTTACAGATACTTAACTTAAAAAAAAAAGTCAAACCACAGTCAAACCCACATCTGTTTGTCACTGATTATGAATTCATGTATTTGAAAATTCTTAATTGAAAGCCATTTGTTGTCTGTCCTGTCAGATTGTGCCCAGTTGTGTGTCACTCTATGACTTGTTCTCCTTAACAGTCTACGTTTCTACGTGGTTCGAACGTGTGAGTATTATGGTGATCTTGTTGAACTGCGTGACCCTGGGAATGTACCAGCCCTGTGAGAACATCGACTGCTCCTCAGACCGATGCCAAATACTACAGGTACACACAAACACACACATACAAGCACACACAAACACATTGTGATCATACTGTTGCTATTGTTGCCTCCCACAAAATGTTGCAGTAGGCAAATCTGTTCACATTTTTGAAAAATAATCTCAAATCTGGTGACTATATGACACTAATGCCATATAGAGATGGCAGTATCAGTATGTATGTGAAATATCTCTGAATTTACTAATCCCCTGACTTTCTCTTTCTCTGAACCTTAGCATTTTAACATAGCTGTTGTCAGCTCACCATGCTAACATTAGCATTTACTTGTGTACTTTACTTTAGTATTGTGCCACTGCGGCTACGACACGCCTGATCTTATTTATCATTTGTCTTGTCTCTCAGTCCCTGCTGTTTAAGGTGCAAGGTAGAGATGCAAAAATGTAAGGGACTGAAAAAACATACATTTTGGGAAATTAGATATCTTGCCCTCAGCTGTGACATCTCAGTTAATAATGATAGCTACACAGTTGGATCTCTTCTGCGAGAGCTTGAAACTGTTCCGTAGTGTCTTATTACTCTCAAGTTTTTAAGTAATGCAATGTTCTGTTTAATCTGTTTGAAGAGGAACATTTACCACAGATAACACCATTATTTTTTACTGATATTTATGGCAACACCACCCTCTGGCTAATAATTTATTTTCTTCACCACAAGTGCTAAGGATCCAAACCAAACTTTGGACCCTAACTTTTTATATATTTTACATCTTCAGAGAGCTGCTAGTGTGGCTGAAGACTCTGTTTTTGCTTCTCTAAAGCACTTTGTAACCATTGTTTTTAACAGTGCTCTATAAATAAAATGTACTTAGTTTCACAGGATCATGTATATTTGATCATTGCTCTATGTATTCATGCTGTGCAAAAGCACTTACAAACATGTGTTAACAAATCTGCACACATGCACACTTATACTCTATATGCCATTCATATTTTATATACAACCCCCAAAAAGGGAGACACAGTAAATTCACATTCACATACAGCAGTGTACAACAACGTGTCGGAACAAATAGAGAGCAAAGAGTATGCTTCGAGGAAGTGTGTACATGTATCCATTTATTCCTACATTCTCATGTTGACACGTAAAGAACACACTAATTCACATGCACACACACCCTTGTTCTCTTCCTCTCTGTTTTCCTTCCTGTCAATTCTCCCATGCTGGGGCCTGTAACTCCTCGCAGTAGTGACTCACTGCTAGCATGTGGTCTTTATGGTGCAGCGAGCATGACTTTCTCACGTACGGCACCTCAACAGCTTTCCCCGTCATCTGGCAAGACACAGAATCCCTTCTCACTTATGTCAAAGGTGGCCCAAGTGGGTGTAACATCTGTGCGCGAGCGTGTGCACGTATGTCTTCAGTCTGTCGGTGTGAAGCGCTTGTTGAATCACCCCGGCGTCCTGTTTTTTTCACATTCTCACATGAACACACACAAGGCACCACACTCATCATACAACAGCCAACACACACAGTAGATTGATTTGGCTCCCTGGGGGAGGTGGCTGGTGAGTTGGACCTAATAGAATTTCTCCTCCAAGTATCTATAGACCCTATTCAATATCAGCATGGATTTAGTGGGCTACAGTGCCACAGTCAATACACTCCTCTCAGAAAAGCCGTTGTTCAATACCATGATTTCAATGGTGCCTCACAAGCACAATCTATAAGCTCTAACAAACGTCGACTTAAAGACCTCTGGGGGCTTAGCTAGTTATTTAGTCAACTAGCATCCACTCGTAAATGGATGGATGAGTGGATAAATTAATTAATTTTTGCATCTTAGTTTGTGCTGCTAGAGTCGAAAGGAACAAAACTTTGGGGGCTTGGGACCAGTTCTAATGCCTCTTGGATGTGTGTTGAAACATCTTCAAGACCAAACAGAAATCTAATTTGCATTTGACTTCCTTCTGGCCATGCTATGACCTGAATTGGTGAGAAACTTCATAGACATCATAAGTTATTGTGTATAGACGACAGTGTTTTCATCTCACTGAATAGGAAATGTAAGAGAATCAATAATAAGCCCTCATAAAGAGAACTGCATGCAAATAATGTCCCTCATCACAAATTAAAAGTACAAACGAGTGCTTGAGCATGGACGCAAAAGTACCAAGACTGATACACTTGTGTCCTGAAGTGTCTTTTATAACAGCGGCATTCTTTGACCTGATAACTTGCTAAATTAGATTGAAAAAATACCTTGAGGATGTGAACGGTTTTGAACCTTCAGAGCTCAATGATTTTGAGTTTTTTTTATGCAACCGTGTTTTGCTATTTTAATATATAGATTTGTGACACCATTTTGTAGTAATGTGCAGTTTAGGGCTAATAAAACATCCAATGGTATGGTTTCCCTTCCTTCTAGTCCCCTTTCAAATACTACCTTAGAAAGGTAAAACGCCTTAACAATGTCATAAAGGCATTACTGAAATAGTATTATGCATTTTGAATAGGCTTCATAGCCCCACAGAACAGTATTCCATTATACTGTCCCATAGGTATCTTTTTCCACTAGCAACCTTTTCAGATTTAATCCATTAGATAGAGTTCTGACATTTTGTTTAAATAATGTATTCAATCACTGTGCTACTTTTGCTATACAGCTTCCATGTGTGTCTTGCCCTATAATGTAGGACATATCCAAAAAAAACAGCCAACACACTATGAATGATGAGTTTGCTATCCTTAATTTATCCTACAAGACAGACCAACATTTGAACCTCACTGGGCTTCCTCAAGTCAAAACATTAACAAGTTCATTTAACATAAAAAGAATTGGAAAAGAGACAGCATTGTATCAACTTTTATGCAGATAATTGTTACCCAATACCTGCAAATAAATTATGGATATTTATGTGCTTCTTGATTGCCCGGTCAATTTACTTTGCCAATTAGAGCCTGACTGATATGGACACATTAGCCAATATTGACAAATATATCCCTCTGGCTTATGTGTCCTTTGAGAAGTAAAAAAATAAATTTGCAGTACAAAAATGCCATAGGATAGGACAATTGATTTAAGTTAATAAATGTAATTAAACATTTTAAGCCAGGCTAGCTGCATTAGTATACTTTATAATGCTAAACATTAGAAAGTTAGTGTTTGTCATTGTTATTCATCTCAAAGCACTAACATGGCTTTATTAATCAATATAATTAGTATTGTTAATTTATGTGATGTAAATATTATGGCCCAAATATCATTTCCAGTATCAGCTTTAAAAATATAAATTAAGCTATACTTATACTTACACAATAAAATATATACTTATATACTTACATATACACATGTACACAAAAGCCAACCAAAGTATGAATAGACTGAAAAGCTAAGAACAAAAAAGAATAGAGACTGATAAAAGGTGAGTGTCAAAAAAAGCAGAGATGGATAACAACACAAGATTAGAGACAAAGAGACGTAAAAGAAAAAGAGACAAGACGACTGGCAGAAAAAGCAAAATAGAGTGAGAGGTGTAAGAAAGAGAGCAGTGGAAATGTCAGCGGAGCAATGTTTTTGACATTTGGTGGAGTTTTGCTCTCCCTTGGTTCAGCGAACTTTACAAAAGGTACCACCTCGTCCATCTTTCCGGTTTGACAAAGGTCAAAGTGGCAAACTCTGGCCCGTTCTTTCACATTAGTAGGCCAGTCTGGCAACTCGATGCTCCTTCAAGACTGCTGAGTAGGATGCTTCTTTTCAAAGCCGAGATTGTGACAAAACAAAGATTCACATCAATGGTTCAGCTTCAAATCATGTTGCCTACAGTACTTCCCTTCCGAAAATCAAATTACTGGCAACGCCAAGCGCGTCAGTTCATCTCTAATCCCCCTGTATACACAGAAAAGAACACCAGCTAATCTAGGCTTTTTGCTCACAACAGCAATAACACGCATTAGCAAGCTGAGATCTTTGATTTATTTAGATTTTTTTTCTCTCTTCTTTTAATTAGATGCTTGATTAAAGCCGCATGTGAGGTGGGGGGATGTCGACGTGGGGCTTATCTCTGATTACTGCTCAAACAAATTATTTTCCATTACCCCACCGTTTAGGGCAAACTGCTCAACTGGGGAGAAGGGGGAGGGGAATGAGGTAAGGAAGGAGGAGAAAATTTGAGTTTAGTAGAGAGACAGAGGTTAGGAGAGAGAGGTGGAGATATAAAATTGTCAAGGAAAGCGGAGAAAGAAAATCAAACAAAGCAGAGAGCAGAGCAATAGAGGTAAGAGATTGGCAGGGAGGTGTGGAAGGATGACGACTGAGAGAAGCCAGGGAGGGAGACAGTGCTAGGAATGAAGGGGAGGTAAGAGGAGGTGTTACTGAAATCGGTCTTGGGTCAGTGTTTCTTTTATAAGAATCCTGGTGTCTCATAGGATCACAGTTTACCTTTACTACAACTTCAATTTGTGCTGGAAAAACTTCAGGGTATCACCCATCTCATCCCCAAGGTGCCATTTGGTTGATGTCTTGGAGACTGAGCTAAAGTCGGGCTGAATCCAACATCTTCACCACCTGGACATGCTGCTTTGACCCTTGCTTTTCATGGAGTGCTTGTTGTCTTTACTTACTGTATTTTCTAAATTAATTTGTCAAGTGTTTGGTCTGTAAAATGCTGAAAATGGAGAAAGAATCGAGAAATATGTGTAGTTGCTGTCTTCAGATTGCCAGTTTAAGCCGACCAACAGTCCAAAACATATACATATATATATATATATATATATATATATACAGTTTAGTGTATATATATGACAAATAAAAGCACAAAATGGTCACTTTGACTTGAGTTCACTTTGAGAAGCTGGAATACTTGAATGTTTGTTATGTTTACTTGATAATAAACAAAAAATCAAAATAAACAACTATTAATCAATTGCCAATTTTGAGCAATCTTATAAACACAATCTAATGAGTTCTGCACTTTAAACAGACTCTCTTGTAGTCAAAAGTCTGCAGGAAGTGCACTTGAGGCTCTTTAGAAATTTCATCAAACCAATTTGGACAGCCCCTCTCACTCCAATCTTCACAGGTATGAGATGATCTAGTGCGCATATCTTGGCATTGGGCCTAAATGCTCATTTGATAAAGATGAGTCAGGCAAACAACATTTCCTCCATCCTACCTTATGTTGTTGACAGCATGCAGGATAGACCCATTGACTTCAAGTTTTGATCCCAGCCACATAGCACCAGGTGCTGTTTTTCCATTTGCTGCTGTCATAGTCCATTTATTTCAAGGTGTTCAAGATTTGTGTCCTAAGATTTTTTTATTTTTTTATTTATTTTATTTAAATATTTTTATCATATGTACTATACCACTTTCTGCTAAATCACACAATGTCTTCTTGTGCCCTCTCGTCATAGGGTGTGCATGCTAATGAGTTGTGACCTTATCCTTCATCATTTCCCTTTCTCAGACTTAGACAATTTCGATAGTATTTAGAGGCCAATAGATTATGCAGTAATTACAGTAAAGACAAAAGCAAAGATTAAAGAAAAAAAGTCTGAAAAGTAATAGTAGAGGTTTTTTTTAGTTTTTGTTATGACCCTTAGATCCAGCTCGCAACCTCGTGTGGAGTCTCAACCTCCAGGTTCTGATGAATGTCATTCTGTTCCTTTTCTTTTCTTGACACCTTGTCTCTTCGTCCCCTTGTGTCTTTTTGTCAGGCTTTTGATGCATTCATCTACATCTTCTTCGCTCTGGAGATGGTTATAAAGATGCTCGCCCTGGGAATCTTTGGTCGACGCTGTTACCTCGGGGACACATGGAACCGACTGGATTTCTTTATTGTCATGGCAGGGTGAGGACCTCCTGTTCCCTTTATTTTATCCCTTTTGTATGTCAGGGCATTCACATGAGTGTGAAAAGAGTAAGGTTTTGTTCCAAACACACATCTTACAGAGCTTAGTAATTTACAGCACACAATGAAAACAATTCATGGTACAGCATAATGGGCCGACACCTTATTTATAAAACTTGTATGTTGGATTAAATTGGAATAGAAGCTTATTCATTCACAGTAATGTGTTTTTCAAAGCATTTTTGAATTTGTTAAAAGTTCAAATGTTTAATTATGATTTATAATGTGTCTATTTAAAGGCCAGGCTCCAAATCTCATTTTTCGGCTCGGCTTTCTTCGTCTTCCCGACAGTTCATGATCCATTGCGCTACCATGCATGGCCAATCATGTCGGCGTTAAATATGTAACATGACATTAAATATTAACATGTTGATAGTCACTGGCTTTCACCTGGGACATGGCTGACAATAACACAACCATAATGTAATTCAGCTGAGCTAATCACCGCGATGTAATTTAATGAATGAGCTGAAATTACCCTGTCATAATTTTTGCACATGGTCATACTGTTACTGCTGACTTAATGAATATGAGTCAAAACCTTTGGCTGATGAAATAAAATCACTTAAATTGACTATGAAACAGAGAGACCCATAAAGAGTAACATTCCTTACTTATACCAGAAATGTGTATGTAGCACTTTTTAAATGGGGTGTTCAAAATCTACTGAGCTTGACAATATGCAGAGTGTAAAATAAATGATAGGCTATCAGAGGAAAAAGCATGACTTGTGACCCTAACATTAAGCCCATATTGTTTCAATTTGTTTAAAGCAATGTGATTTCTATGTGATTTTGTACATTCATCTCCTACATTGTAGCTCATACAGTCTCTATCTTACCGCCTGGTTCAAAGCGTGTATTATGGCCACCTGTTGCTGTCTGTTTTGATGGTGGTGCATTACTTTAGTGGTTTCAGTTTCCTTTATTGGCAGTGTTTGGTTTGGTTTGTTTCCCCTGTTTGGGCTACTAAGACATGAGGCAGTTCAAAACAGAAAGTGACTTGCATGCGTCTGTAATTAAAACGGGCTCATTCTGAGGTAACTTTTTTTCTTATTTTCAGATTATGACACTAATGAACATAACTCCTGGATATTATGTTTCATTTCTGCCAATAGATCTTCCTCAATGTTACACTCTGGGCCTTTAAGGAATTAAGAGCTCTGTATTCTCACAAGCACCAAGACCGTACTGGTAGGCTTTCAGTTTAACTAGCAATTTAACTAGATAGTAAAAAAACAGAGTTGGTGACAGGATAAGGAACACAACAGAAAAAGCTCCGGCAAAAAGCAGACATTTCCAAAGCTGGGGTACCACATTATCTCTTGGCACATAAGAATTAAAGTAATTAACATGATTTGATGACTCAAAACAATCATGCTTTATCCTATCATTTTTATGTTCTCGAGTTTTTTACAAGACGATAAGCATGCAGAGTAGAACCCCCCCATGATCAGTAAACAGATCCCCACCAAGACGTCAACCAGGTTGTCTGGGGATGCTGTGGAATTATCTAACATCTGTGTCTTCTGTTGGCTGAAGCTTTTTAAAGACACATTCTACATCATGTTGCAGACTTTCCAAACACCATACCTCAGTGTCTGTACGGTATTTAATGATAATTTAGAAATTTATATAATTTATAAATGTATATATAAACAAGCAGTGTACTAATTGCATGCTCCTCAGTTGTCCCAAACTGTATATTGTATCAAAGACAGAATACCTGTTGAATTGTGTACAAAAAATAATTTACTAGTTGAATGATAGTGCTGTTATGACAGTACAGTATTACCCACTTTTATGAATGTCTTAAGGGTACTCTAGAGATTTAGTATTACACCTCCATAGTTTCAAGTTGGGGGACTCAAAAGAGATTGCTTCAAAAAACAGAATGCTTTAAGATGTAGGTAAGAAGGGGCAGAGATATCCTACATTTGTGCCCCTAGTATGGCTGAATCTCCAGAAGTGTTCGGTCCTACATTTCCAATAATAAAAACTCAATAGCATATATATTTTTTAGATCTCCTTGCCTTAAAAAGGGCCAGATCTTTTAAACTCCACTCCTCAGGTTCTCTGGCTGCGCTCAGTTTCTACCCCATTTGTAAAGAGGAAAAGGGTGGGAAAATCTACTTGCAATGATATGATTATCAGCTTATAATCAATCGTATTCCCGCTCCTAAGTGTTAGAGACATTACAGTGCGATAATGTGTTTACATGCGGCGCAGAGCTGTTGACTCAAGTTAGCATGAGTGGCATGTTTCATTTTGGTTGCACCCTTTTTGCCCAAACCGAGACAAACCTGATTGCTTATTTGGTGATTTTCTGACTTGAAAAAGCTCCTTCAGAGCCATAGAAGACATTATACAGCTGTTTTCACAGGCTGAGAAGAACTCCCCATGACTAGTAAAACTGTTTTCATGTGTAAAATCAGTGGAGTTTGTAATAAAGCAGCTGCGTGATATTGCAGCTAATGAGCTAATTGTTGTTTAATGTGTGTAAACAGTGGATTCAAATACGCCTGTATCTTTGGTTTTGGTTATGGATGGCTCAGGGTTATACTGTATAGAAATCCAGATGTCACTCCACATGTATGTGGTTAGACTTTATTGTGACAAGCATCTCAAAATGCTAACGGAGAGATGATTGTCAAACAAAACGAAAAAAAATCTATCTACTCTAACTGCGAATGCTCCTCCTCTAACTGCCTGTTGTTGCCAAAACAGACCTGAATGGAAAAAGCACAGGACAAAGCACACCATAACCCACACTACATGATATAAGCACATCTCCTTTCTCCTCTGAAATGTTCTTCTCCCCCAATGCCCTCTGCAACATTTCAAATCTCGATGAGAACATGAAAGTAGTATGTTAATTTTTAATTAATATTCAAATGATTGTTTTAATTATTGAGTAAATGTTTGTATTTAAGATTTATATATTTCTGCTACATCTTTCTTTAAATAATTAAGCTTTACCTTTCTATTCCCCCCTGTAGTTTTTCACCATTTTTAACTTAACTTGCATTTTTCTGTCTTACACATTTCCCCTTCCTCTGCCTTTTCGTTTCCATTCTCTTCATCCCTCTCTTCTTATTTCTTCCTCAAGGGAAGGTGAACATTTTTCATTCACTTTTACTGCCCTGGTTTCTTTAGATTTTCCGTAAATTTCAACAGTCACCAGCACATTCTTCGAGCCCCTAGGCTAGAGAAGATACTGCTGCCTCCACCTTGCTTTCTCACAATGTTTTATCTGGTCCTTTTCCCCCGACTCTGATCCCACAGTTTTTGCTCATATGTCTTTCCTCGCCCTCCCTCTCCTCGTCTTTCCTTCAGTCACCATCCCTTAAGCGGCAGGCACAGAGATCTGTCGACTCGTCTCTGTGCGCCAAACCCCAATGCTCGACGCTTGCGTTCCAGAGAGATACCACCACCACCACCAATTACTCCCCAGTCTTACATTCACCACATGCAGCGCGTGAAGCTGCAAGGAGGGGGGCGTGATAAAACGTTGCACCCCTGGGAACTAGTGTGCTGCAAACACAAACAGTAGGCGAGCTGCAGGAAAGGGATTAGGAGCAGCATGAGTTCCACACCAGGCCCTGCTTAGCTTGCCTGTTCAGCTAAACCAGACCCCTGCACACAGTTAGATTGTATGGAGCAGTGTGCGAGCATGATGTTTGAAGGCAGGTGTCCAACATTAAACCAAAAGCTTGCTTTTTGAGCAAATCCCTCAGGCACAACCTCCCACGGATTTGTTAGGCATTTTTAATTTTAACAAACAAAACTCCAGCTGATAGCTTCACATGTTGCACTCTTGTGCATTATGACTCAAATCAACATTTGTGTGTCACCGGTTTAGGTGATTTTGCGTTAGCCAGATGGTTTTTATAATAAGCAACATGTGCTCGATTGTGTTTTCAAGGTGATTTTAACATAGAGCGGGTTATATATATAACCATTAAAAAACAACTGAGTCTAGCTGAATACATAAAGACAAGTATTAAGTATTAACCAGGTGTCTTTTGGTAACCCGCCAAAAAAAAAATATATATATAGTACATTCAAATATATTTAGGTATTCTCTTTCTTTTATATATTCTTAACATCATGTCAAATTTAAATATAGTCTTCTTGTGTGTAAAAAATGTGAAGGGTAGACATATGAATGTCAAAAAATATGTATAAAACTGGTATGATCTCCAACTTCACTCCCTCATGGGTTCATGCTGGTGTCCAGGGTCCAGCCTAGCATATTACAGAACAAAAGAAAAGCCTGCACTCTGACATATTACCATAAAAGAGTCTCTTCAGATGCAAAGAGGGGTCCATTCCTTGTAGGCCATGGAGTCAAGAGTGCAAACCTCTCCACATTGTTAATGTGTAAAAGACAACATGTTGTAAGACCCTCTGGGAGTTGAAGGACAAGATGTGTGCTTTGCAAGCTGATGAGGATTGAATGTGTGTGTGCACTTGCATGCACTGTTGAATTAAAAGATCTTTTTTTCTTTAGCACATACTTCACATGCATTATACAAATGGTGCATAACCTAGTGAAACCTTGGAAGCTACTGTGATCTTTTTCATATTGAACAACTAACCACAGTGAATACATTTCCTTATTCATAATTTTTTTCTCTGAGGTATTTTACAGCTGAGATAATCATGGCAGTTCTGTTATGCACAACAAAACCAGCGCCATAGGATATCTGTCTCTCCATGTTCACATCTTCTGTGTGGTGATTATATATACAGCTGCTCTTGGCTCTTGGTCGCCATAATACCATTATTTCTAATGAGTGACGCTGATCCTAATTTGTTGAAGCTCTGCACCACTGTGTTTGCCTGCAGCAGAGTGGACAGGGAAGAATAGAAAGAAAAGGACACTAAACCACAAGAAGGCACTAGAGTCATAGGACTGTGTCTTTTCTGCCATTAGTC